ACATTTCGAGGCTGTTTCCTCATCAGTCACATGGGGTCAGTGAGACCCCCTTTGGGAGGATGCAGGGAAGGTGTAAGGAGAGGACTAGCATGATGCCGGCACAGAGTAAGGAGGTACGTGGTGGGAGGCCCCTTATTCCTAGGGGATCCCTTCCTCCTCCTGCAGGGCTGGATGGGATCCACAGCTCCCAGGTAAATTCCAATTCCCGTCAGAGCATTCATTCAGTCGCCATCCTTTCTTCCACACCTGAGCTTCTAAGGCAAGGGCAGCATGGTGTAGTGCGACGAGCTCAGTCCCAGGTTCAGATACCCGCTTTGGACACAGGACAACTCATGTCCCCCACCCCGAGGGTGGCTGTGAAGAGTGACTGTGACCCAGAGCAGCAGGTGCTCAGCATGCAAAGGTCCCCGCCTGCTCGGGGATCCATTCTGCAGGGGCTCCTCTCACACCTGCACAGAGGCCCTGGCCCCCTGCAGGCTGGTTGTGAGGCTAAAGTCACCTTTCAGCGGGACCTAGACCCAGCAGCAAAGCCCACCAGCTCAGTGAGAGCTGCTTCCCACATCCTGCCCATTGGCCTGGCCTGGGATCCCCTCTGATTAGTGCCTTCTAGGGACCTGGCTGCGGGCAGTCCAGGGATAGCTCAGAAAGCACTGTGAACAAGATGTGATTTCCTTGTATGTTTGCTTTCCAAATTCCTTAAAGAATTCCTTTAGGAATTTCTTTGAGCACTCATAGTAGCTGCTCAATAAATGTTTATGAAGGAATCATAATTGCTACCAATTATCGAGTTGCAGCTATGCGCCAGGCTCTGTACTCCAAGAAAATTATAACTGTGTTATTCCCCTTTGTCTCCACAAGTGGTAAGGAGGCACCAGAGTGTAATAGACAAGAAAAGTGGCTCTGGAGTTGTAATGTGAATTAACCCGCATCCTTCATTCTAGCTGGGTGACCTCTGGAAAGTTTAAATTCTCTGAGCCTCAGTTTCCTCATCTGTAAAATGGACATAATTATCTACCTCCTAGGATTGCTATGAAGGTTAAAAGATATTGATAGATAAATAGATCATTCTTTTACATATGTGTATACACACATATATACTTATGTGTGTATATATTCTAAAACCAAGAATATGATCTTTAAAAAAAATAAAAAGTAGTATGTTATAACAACCCAGTGAGGCAGGTGGTGGTGTCCCCATTTTGTAGATGAGAAGCTCCTCAGAACAGTATCCTCTGACAGAAGTCCAGTCAGTGCCTCCCATTGACAAGGAGTTCCCTTGATTGTATCACAAGTGAGTAGGAAATTGACCTGGAGCTTTAGAAATACCCGGGATTGGGTGAACCAGTGGAAAAGGACATTCCAGGCAGGTTCAACCCCTGCCACATGCGGCTCTTTGGCCCCCTTAGTGTGGCTCTTCCTAAGCCTTAGGAGTACCCTAATTAAGTTAATAACAGTGTACCTACCTATATAGTTTAAGTTTAAAAAATTTGGCTCTCAAAAGAAATTTCAATCGTTGTACTGTTGATATTTGGCTCTGTTGACTAATGAGTTTGCCAACCAGTGGTCAGCAAACTGCGGCTCTTTGGCCCCTTGAGTGTGGCTCTTCCTAAGCCTTAGGAGTACCCTAATTAAGTTAATAACAGTGTACCTACCTATATAGTTTAAGTTTAAAAAATTTGGCTCTCAAAAGAAATTTCAATCGTTGTACTGTTGATATTTGGCTCTGTTGACTAATGAGTTTGCCGACCACAACCATAGAGTGCTTGAGTGCACGTTAGTGAAGTTATTTCCAACCCTATACTAGGAGACATGCTATTTATTATGCACCTAAGCTGAGAAGTAGGATAGAAATGGTTAAGAACAAGTGCTCTGGAGTGGTCTGCCTGTGTTTGAATTCCTGCTTGACATTTATAAGTTGTGTGGCCCTGGGAAAGTCTTTTAAGCTCTCTGACTTTGAGTTCTATACAGTGGGCCCTTGACTTACGAGTTTAATTCGTTCCGTGACGGAGCTCATAACTCAAATTACTCGTATGTCAAATCAAAAGTGAACGAGTGAAGTCACCTTTCAGCGGGACCTAGACCCAGCAGCAAAGCCCACCAGCTCAGTGAGAGCTGCTTCCCACATCCTGCCCATTGGCCTGGCCTGGGATCCCCTCTGATTAGTGCCTTCTAGGGACCTGGCTGCGGGCAGTCCAGGGATAGCTCAGAAAGCACTGTGAACAAGATGTGATTTCCTTGTATGTTTGCTTTCCAAATTCCTTAAAGAATTCCTTTAGGAATTTCTTTGAGCACTCATAGTAGCTGCTCAACAAATGCTTATGAAGGAATCATAATAGCTACCAATTACCGAGTTGCAGCTATGCGTCAGGCTCTGTACTCCAAGAAAATTGTAACTGTGTTATTCCCCTTTATCTCCACAAGTGGGAAGGAGGCACCAGAGTGTAATAGACAAGAAAAGTGGCTCTGGAGTTGTAATGTGAACTAACCCACATCCTTCATTCTAGCTGGGTGACCTCTGGAAAGTTTAAATTCTCTGAGCCTCAGTTTCCTCATCTGTAAAATGGACATAATTATCTACCTCCTAGGATTGCTATGAAGGTTAAAAGATATTGATAGATAAATAGATCATTCTTTTACATATGTGTATACACACATATATACTTATGTGTGTATATATTCTAAAACCAAGAATATGATCTTTAAAAAAAATAAAAAGTAGTATGTTATAACAACCCAGTGAGGCAGGTGGTGGTGTCCCCATTTTGTAGATGAGAAGCTCCTCAGAACAGTATCCTCTGACAGAAGTCCAGTCAGTGCCTCCCATTGACAAGGAGTTCCCTTGATTGTATCACAAGTGAGTAGGAAATTGACCTGGAGCTTTAGAAATACCCAGGATTGGGTGAACCAGTGGAAAAGGACATTTCAGGCAGGCTCAACCCCTTCAGAGACTTGAGGGGGGAGGAGGGTAGTAAAAGATCAAAAGAAATATTAGCCACATTTTTTTCCTTCCCTTCCCATAGAGCCGTGGTCGGCAAACTGCGGCTCGCAAGCCACCTGCGGCTCTTTGGCCCCTTGAGTGTGGCTCTTCCTAAGCCTTAGGAGTACCCTAATTAAGTTAATAACAGTGTACCTACCTATATAGTTTAAGTTTAAAAAATTTGGCTCTCAAAAGAAATTTCAATCGTTGTACTGTTGATATTTGGCTCTGTTGACTAATGAGTTTGCCGACCACTATTCTAGGAGGTCCGTGAGGGTCCAGTTTCAAGAGGCTCTGTCTCTGCGAGGGCTCTGGTGTGTTTATCCGACGTGTGAGAAGGTTGCAGGAAGCATGGGTTCCGTGACGGAGCTCATAACTCAAATTACTCGTATGTCAAATCAAAAAGTGAACGAGTGAGACACGTGATGCTGGGCTGATGTTGTGGCGTTCACTGTGACGTTCGCTGCGCCAACTAGCGGTGGGGTATCTGAAGCTGGCTCGTAACCCGAATTTTAGCTCGCAACTCAAAGCAAAAAAATCGGCCGAGAGACGACTTGTATCTCGAAAAACTCGTTAGTCGGGACACTTGTAAGTCAAGGCCCCACTGTATTTGTAAAGTAAGGATAATAATAGATCCTTTGGCGGGCTGCCTTGAGAGTTAGACAAGTTAATATTTGCAGAGCCTGTATCATGCCTATACCTTGTATGCATTCAATACATCACAGTTTTTATTGTTTTTGCTGTTTTTATGTGGCTTATATACATAATCCAAGATTTGGGTAGATTAAACAATAGGCCAAATCATCCAACTAGTAACAACTGGTAGACACAGGATTCTAAAACCCAAATTCCATGCATCAGTCAGAAAAGATTAGGTTATGCTGGGTAACAAACAAGCCCCAAAATTCCACATTGTGACACAATAGGCATTTATTATTCACACAAAATGTTAGCTTCACATAGTCCAGATAGTTTTGCTCATATCCACCATCAACACAAATGCCTATGGTCACAGGGGCAAGCCAAGGGTTGGAAGGTTGGGCACTAGCAATGAAATGCTTCTACCCCGAAGAAACACATGTCTCTACTCACATCTCATTGGCCAAAACAAGATATATGGTTATTCCAAATTCAGGAAAGAAAAGTGCAGCCCTCCTGTGTGCACCGAAGGTCAGGAAGACAAGTCACCAGTGAACACCATATGCCCCAAAGCCAGTCTCTTTACTTTGTGCTGCACTGTTCTGCCTCTCTCTGCAGTAGACCATCCATTTTCTGCTTTTCCTTACACAACAATTAGTTTCAACATCCCTTCCTCAAATTCAGAGAAAAGCATCCGATCTTTACACGAGATAATTAATCAAGGGCTCCTGTCACTCTCCTGCCCGTCAGCGGCACTCCACGGCCAGTGCCCCAGTCAGCCCAGCCCAGGTTCCCCATCCTTCCCTCTGGGGGGTTCTCCTCTTCTCCATCCATCCGCAGGGCCCTGTATTTCTCTAGCCTGCCCACGCCAGCTCTCACTTGATGTCTCAGTTTCGGAACAGAGATACTCCAGCTGCTGCCTGGGAAGGCTCTGGCCCCCCAAATATTTAGTTAGCAGCCATTCAGTTAAGTGGAATTGACTTTTTATTGGCTTTCCTCTGTACGGCTGCCACCAGCGAAGGCTGTTTCCTCCTTCCCTCTTCTCTGCCTGTCAGCTCACTCCACATTCCTATCGGCAGCCTTTAGCTCTGATCAATACTAACCGCTGTGTAACAGCTCACGCACGGCTGCTCTGGTTTGCATCGATCAGACCCTCTTCCAACAGGTAGTCAGCTATTTGAGGCAATGACTCGAGATAAACACCTACTTTCACTTCAGGCTAATTCATTTCAGGTGGGTTTCAAGGAGGCTCTGCACCCCGTCTCTGTGAGACAAGCTGGAATCGTAGAATCAGGATCAACTTCTCCTGCACTCGAGACCCGAAGAGACCTTTCTTCCCCTCCCCGTTCCCCCCCTTCCCTTGTAAGTTGTAAGTGCCACTTACCAACAAGATACCAAGACTGGGGGCATGGAAAATGCCACTTCAGGAAACGTGTCACCCAGCCGCCCCTCTTTCCTTTTAATGAGATGCATCCGGGGCTGCGGGAAACCAAGGGGTGCCGTGAAGCAGCGTTGTCACTGGGCAACAAGCATCCTTCCAGCTTCCCCAAGAACTAGGCTCACGATATCCCGCAACCCTGGTTCTCTTGCCAACTCAGGAGGCAGCCCTTGAACCCTTGTTCCTGGCTCACAAGTGAATTTGCCAGGAACTGATATTGCAAAACTAGTTGCTGTTTTGCAATTGAGGGGGGGTTGGTACAACTCCATGGCATTTGTGTTATAACCAGAAAGCACACAAGACTGGGTGGTAGGCACTCTTTTTCCCAACACGGACACTCAGTGTGGTTGAAGGGTACATCTGAGTCCACGTGATCCTGTCACCTGGGTCCCGGAACCTCTGTCCTGTTTTTCTCTTTCTCCGTTACACACCCACCTCATCAGTCCCCAAGTCCTGTTGACCCTTCCCTTGCTGTGCAACCCCAAGGTCCCCACCCTCCGCCTCAGTTGTTATCTTCCTCATTCAAGCCTCCTTCTCCTGGTGCTCGACCACTGCAGCATCCTCGAGCTGGTTGCCTGGCTTCCAGGTGCTCCCTTCTTTGTTAGTGTCACTCTGCACACAGATTAATTCTCTTAGTGCTCAGCTGTGGTTGCCTTGCTCTTCCCCGAAATCCTCAATGGCCTCCCATCACCTGCCCGCGTGGAAGCCAGATTCCTCAGCCTGTAGTTCTGGCTTCCAGAGATCTGATCCGTAGCTCCCTCTCCAGACTGTCTCCAGCAGAAAGCCCACACTCCAGCCCCTCTGATGACTTGCTGCTTCCTCTACGTGAGTTTTCTAGCTCCGTGCCTAAGAAAAGATTGTTATGCCACACACCACAGTTGACGTTGGCTCAAGTCCTGCCTTCACTACTTATTAGCTTTGGGACATCAGAATTATCTAACTTCTCTGCCTCAGTTTCTCCTCTGTGAAAAAGGGATAATAATGATAATACCTATCCCGAAAGATGGTTATGAGGATTAAATAAATTAATGTATGTAAGGCATCTGAATGGCACCTGCACATTAAATGCCATGTAGATATTTCCTCTTGTTATTATTATTATCCTGTTCTCCAAGCCACAACCCAAAAGCATACCTCTCCAGGAATACTCACTCTCCAAATCACCCTTGCAAAAAAATACTCATTTCCTTTTCTGCCACCCATAGTCTTGGTTTATGCTGATAATGTAATAATAATTGGTGGGTGCTAGGGCCATGCTCAGTGCTTTTGATGCATTATTGCTTTTAGAACTTTGGGATGGATGCCTTGCATTTCCCCAGGTCCACTCTTTCTCCTTCTCCACCTTGCTTTTTGCCAGAGGAGGCCGCACTGTCTGTCCAGTGGTTTCCAGTTGGATTTGGCCAACAAAGAGCACTGGCAAGAAATAGGAACAAGCCCTAACTGGTTTGGCTCAGTGGATAGAGCGTCAGCCTGCGGACTGAAGGGTCCCAGGTTCGATTCCAGTCAAGGGCATGTACCTTGGTTGCGGGCACATCCCCAGTAGGGGGTGTGCAAGAGTTAGCTGATCGATGTTTCTCTCATCAATGTTCTTAACTCTCTATCCCTCTCCCTTCCTCTCTGTAAAAAATCAATAAAATATATATTTATTTAAAAAAAAGAAATAGGAACAAGCACTAGGCCGGTGTAGCAGGGTTGTGGACTCCGTCCCCAGTGGGGGGCATGCAGGAGGCAGCCGATCAATGGTTCTCTCTCATCATTGATGTTTCTATCTCTCCTTCTCACTTCCTCTCTGAAATCAATAAAGAAATATATATTAAAAAAATGGCGAATTTCACGTTTGTGAATTTCACCTGAAAACACACACAAACACATTCCTCGCAGCCTGCAAAGAGGCCACGGGCTTCACCCTTTGGTTTCCCTGGGTCGGACCTGCGTGGTGCACTTCTGTCTCCCATCAGCACCTTTCCGGGACACACAAGACCCACATCGGGGTGTGGAGGAGAAAGCCAGCCAGACGCCGGCTCCCTGGAAGTCCCCGAGGAAGAGCCGCTCGCCCCACATGGAGGTGAATGCGAGTGACCCAGGGCATCGGGCAGGCCTTACGCATCCACTTCTCCCCAACACCCTCCCTGCCTCAGGGATATATATATATATTTTTTTAAAGAAGACATAGAAACAAGGAAGAAGTGCAGGTTGGAGTTTTTATTCTCCCAGCTCCTTCCCAGCTGAGTCACAGCAGAACAGCTTCATCTCTCATCAGAAGGCCCTGCCTCTTGTCAAGTGGCCCTCTCGGCCCAGCCTGCTCTGTCTCCAGCTTCTTCTTCTTCTTCGTGCCCTCTCCTTGCCTCTTCACAGTGGGGTGGCAACAGGGCCCCAGGGCATTGCATTCTCCCCTGTGGTTCCCAGAACCCTGACCACACCTTTCTAATGCAATTACCCCTTTAGAAACTCTCCCCAAATTATCCTCATTCCCATGCGCCACCCTGGTTGACATGGTTCTCATTACAGTGTAGATCCTGTCATTGTTATCAAGGATCCTCGAGATCACATCAAGCCAAGTGATGGAGCCACATCTGCCTGGCTCTGAATCACTGCTATCATAGGAAGGATTGATAGGAGTAAGATGGCCAATTCTCTGTGGACTTCTGCCTCTTATATTGGTTTGTTTTTGCCACATGCACCTCAAATCTTAGAGGCTTTAAACAGCAATCATTCATTAGCTCGCCATCCTGGGGGTCGGCCATTCAGGCTGAGATCAGCTGGGAAGTTCTTCTGCTAAATCGACCTGGTTTGCTTCTGTGGCTGCAGTCAGCTGACAGATTATTCTCTGAGGCCTGGTGGCTCAGATGGTGTCACATGCACGTCTGACTAGCCGGTAGGGAGCCACGGGGCTCACCGGGCCATGTGTCTCCAGTATCTAGCAAGCTCAGCTAGACTTCTTCAGGTGGCGGCTGGATTCCAAAAAGAGCGAAAGAAAGCCAACCCCAGTGTACAAGCCCCTTTCCAGCCCCTGCTTGACTCGGGTGGTCTAATGTCCCAACAGGATAACCCAGAGTCCAGGGTTGGCAAAATCCAATCCACCTCTTGGAGGGAGGAGCTGCAAAAGACTGCAGCCAGTCTACCACATGGGACACTCCTTTCTAGAAAGATCTGTGCCCTGACAGCTTTATATCCTGTGTCCTCGTAACCCAAGTCAGAGAAGCACTGTGGGCAGGTCCTGTGTTTAGGGGCTGGGGAGTATCCGCTTTACAGCTCGGTGAATATCTGACACCCTTCCTGCCTGTTACCACCAGGCTGGAAATAATTCTGAAAGGGAAGTCTCTTAAAACTTAGCATGAGGGAGTGGAATTTTTTTAATTAGGCTTCAGCAGAATTTTTAAAAGAATCTTTCTTTTCTTCAGTGGCCGCTCCCTTGTTGTAAATTTTAACCCCACCCAGTGGCATACCACAGCCAGCCTGGCCTCTCCTTCCCGTCTTCCTCAGCACTATTTGCTTGGCAGCAGTGCGCAGCTCGCATCGCCACAGAAGGCCGGGGAGGCGCCTGGCTTCCTGCTCTCCTCACTTCCTCCTTTCTCTGCTCTGCTCCTCCTGGAACTCATCCTTGTCTGCTCACTGCCGCCCTGCACCCATCTGGTACCCTCCTAAGAGCAGGATTCTAGAAAGAGCTGGAAGATTTGCCTAGAGGACGGCCCTGTGCAGCCCCCTCCACGCTGGGCCCTGCACACAGTACAGTGACTTAGCCTAGTGGCCGGGAGACTTAGCTAGCAGACTGAACTTCCAGGAAGCCCTAAAACAGAATATTCGTCTAAAAAGTAGTTGTACATGAAATTTGACTTTAAAATGCCTGTGATCTTGTGAACTTGATGTGGTTAGCCATTCATGAATTTATTTCATGAGTATTTATTGAGTACCTACTACGTGCCAGGCACTGTGCAGTCCCTAGAAATAGAGGACATAGTTTCTGCCCTTGAGAAACTTATAGTCTGGGGCCGGCAGGGAGACAGACACATGAAGAGATAATGTCAGTTAATGAGGTAGGTGCTATGTCAGAGGATGTCACGAGAAGGCAGAGAATGCTGTGTGTAGCCTGGGTGATTGGGGAAGGCTTTCTCAGAGGGGTGCTGTCTGGGAAGGCCTTGTCCATTGCTGCCTAGTAGAAATATACTATGAGCCACATGTGTAATTTTTAATTTTCCAGTAGCCACATGAAAACAAAAACACACAAGAAAAAATAATCCTAATATATTTCATTCAACCCAACATATCCAAGATACTACCAGTTTACCACACAAAAATATAAAAATTATCAGTAAGATATTTTACAGTTTTTATTGTGCTAAGTCTTTGAAATCCAGTGTGTATTTTATACTTATAGCACATCTCAACTTGGACATCAAATTTTCAAGGTAAAGAAAAATGTAGTCCTATCAACGCAGTAAAGTTGTGTTTAATGGAAACGTATGTTATATTGCATCAGTTAAAAAATTTAAATTAACTTAAATGAGATAAAGTTAAAAATTTGATTCCTCCTTTCCACTAGCCACATGTCAAGGACTCCATAGCTGTGTGTGACTAGTGGCTACCATATCGGAAAGCATGGGTCCAAAAGGATACATGAATGTGAAGCAAAGAACGTAGAGAAACTAGGTCATCTTGTTCAGAAAAAAACTAGGGTGATCAAAGGCACATAAAACAATGTAGGGTTTGGAACTCTACACAGTTTAATATTACTGTGACATAATGGACAAGACTAAAACTAGGTGGGAAATGATCCGGTGGTGGAGGGATAGGTAGGGACAGTGATAATGAGCCTTGTGTGATCCAAAAGAATTGAGAGTCATATATTTCATAAGTAGGGGGGAAATTGAGCACAGAGGGAAGTCTCTGGCTGGGGCCACTAAACCTTCATGTGAAAAGCATCCACTCTCCTGGCGGCCTGGGACAGAGGCTCAGCAAGTCCACATCGGAGATGAAGTTTGGCAAAGCAAAGTACAGAGTGGATCAAGTGTGTATTTTCTGTGATGTAACTAACAGAAATCAACTCAAATAGATATCAGCAAGTGGGCTTACTGGCTCACGGGGGCAGTCCAGAGGTGAGGCACGCTGGTGTCTGATTGGCTCAAGTGCTCAAGAGCCCTTCTTCCGCTCCATCTGTCATCCTCACTGTTGACCTCATCCTA